TCCACTTTCCGAAAAGCAACAAATCACGACACGGTCGTGGGGGCTGTAATGCCTCTCTATGCCTTTCTTTCCTTCTCAATTCCCCCTCCACTCCGACACCTTTTTGTCAAGATTTATTGCTATCATCTCACCGGGGGAAGAACACTGCTTTTTCAACACCTACAGCTCCCACACTTCCGTCTTTTTCAAGAAAAACGAGCGGCCAGAGGTTAAAAACTGTCGGAATGGATCTTTCAGAGGAAAAGTTGCGGTCAAAATGAAAAATTCGTAAAAACATGGGTTTAAAAGATTTCCCCCACCCTCTGACTGTCTGACGCATCAAAACATAAACAACCATCATTAATCTATTCGTCAAAATATTTTGATGTTGATGATTTGCTGGGCAAAAATCTACTAAAAGCCTGGGACGGGAGCCAAAAGGCTAAAAAGCGGATAAATAATCGTTTTCTGAACGGGATCGGGGGGCGGCTAAAGGGGGGACATCTGGTGGAACGGACGGGGACATTCTGAGAGACCAAATAGTCTGCCTCTCTCTCGCTTTATCCCCCTCTGTCGACCTCTCTCTCACTTTGCATATGAGCATCTCTTTTTGTAGAGTCCCGTCCCCCCTCCCGATCCACATGGGACCACACCACCACCCGAGAGAAACCCACTCAACTCAAAAAGCCAAGATCGCAGATCGGGAGGCCAAACGGATTTCTGAGTGCCAGATTATTTAGTGGGCATGGAGGAGGGCTAGTTGAAATCTAAAAAACCACAAAATGCCCAGGGCCCCACGGCGAAAAATTAATCGAAAACGATTCGATCACTGTCGAAAAAGACCTGAAAACTTCTAGCGTGTGATGCTTCTTGAAAATCCCCGAAAAAAGGCATCACGCACTTCGCCAAATGGTTTCTACCGGTATACCGGACAAAAAGACCGGAAAAGTAGAATTAAAATCCACAAAATCTACTGTACAGATCTCCATAAAAAACGCTATTAATTGACAATTTGGTCAACTTACTAGAAAATATTAAGGAAAATCACTGCTGAAAATCCTAGATCCTAAAGGACGCCCTAAAGCGAGCAACCTTTCCCTTGAACAAAAAATCGCCAGAAGCTAGCCGAAAATGGGCGGATTTGCCCAGATTAGCCGATTTTTAGCGGGCCCAAAATATTCTTTTTCGACAAACTGGCTCACGCGCACCGAGAAAATATCTCAAAAAATGTCGAAATTGAAGTTAAAAAACCTTATAAAAACGATCCAACTGTAGCTGAAAATAAAATCGTACTTTACTAAAGTATCTCTCAAAGATCTCCAGAAAATATTCAAAATTCCCAAGATTAACCCCCGCAAAAGCGGTCAGCCAGATCGCTAAAGATATGCAAAGAATCGGATGGGGTTAAAGGCCGAGTTTTGACATTTGTGAAGGGAAGGAGAAGCCAGGGATGCGGAGTCCGGATCGGCCGAGAAGAGGGTGCCAAGTCTCCCGGTCCCAAGGGATAGATTATGCCCCACCACAACCAACCACGGCAAAGTGAGGCTCGTGGTTCAATTTTTACTACACGGGGTAGAAATCATTGAAAAACTTAAAACAAGCTTAACAGCCAGACAAAAATACCGAAATTGATCCTAAAAAACGACTAGCTCAAAAGGCTGATTTAGGTTTCTTTTTTCTAAATTCCTGCCATCTATCGGCTTTTGCTAACAATTATAGACGCATCTAGACGAAAATTTCCCATAACCTCTATCCATCCCCATAACCCCCAACAAGTTGTTCTTAAAAAAAGACCTTTGTCGAGAATACGGAATGAATAACTACACCCCCCCGCCTGGCCGGTATACCCACTGTTTTCAAGACAAAACCCCCGCCGGCGAGACGGGAAGAAGAGGAGGATGACAACAAGAAGGGGTTACCGACAAACGATAGAACGGTCACCAGGCTCCGATTCTTTCCTTCCCTAAATACAATCACTGCGGTACTCTATGAATCAACTAGGCGGAGGGGAAGAGTCGGGAGTAAGTAGTGGACGAATCGACACCTACTTTACCTTACGTTACCTTACCTAAAATACGGAAAAAGAGCTGGTGGTTTAGCGGGGGGGGGGGGGCACTTTTTCCAGGTGCCCTGAACCTCTTTTACGCTCTTGTTCGGAAGAAAGAGTCTACAAACTGCGAAAATTTGAATTTTGTCCAAAAACTGGTGAAAAATCCGCATTTGTAAAAATAGTTTTATAACTTCTTATAAGACAAAAACTATAGAAACGTTTTCATCTGATTACTATGGAGGTTAGGCGTGGAAGTGCTCCCCCCCCCCCCGCTAACGAACCAGAACTCGAAAAACTCGGAAGCATGAATTCTGAAGCTAAACAAAAGAAGTCAAAAACTAAAAACACAAAAAAGCTACGAAAGCTAAATAAAAAGAGGCATTTTCGCAGATAAACGAAATAAGATAATTTACAAGGAGAAATTCCGGAAAACCCATTGACATTACCAAACTAGCGAACTGAAATCAAATATCGGCGGATCAAATGGTGCCACCAATCCTCGCCCCTCCCCGATTGAATAAACAAATACCGTCAGAGGGCGCAGAAATCAAGAATGAATCGGGTGGATGGCATAGACAACATTTGCTGCGGGGGAGAAGACGTCAACCAATCGGCCCCATTGTCTTCTACGAAAAAGCAGAAGAAGCGCCGATCGGAACGGGGCGAAGGAGGACGGCTTCCCTTCAAACAAAAACAAACAATCCTCACTGGGCCCCTCTTTCCACATTGTCCCGGCTATTCGATCACTCGACACCACTCGGAATATGAATTGCGCTGGATGGATCGGTTATACTTTTTTCTAGACAGGAAAAAGAAAAGCAAAACGGCCTAAAAATCTGGAAGTGCCCAACTATCGTTGCAAAATCGAAGCGTCCCCGGGTTCTTCATCATTATTACATATATCCGCATTAAAAACACAAAAACGTATAGTTTTCGACGAAAACTGGCCGATTCTCGATCCAGATTGCAACTAAAAAATGTCGAAGTTTATTTAATGTTATTTTTCAGCTAAAAATAGATAAATTTTGCTACAAAGACAAAAAGCTGGAGACAATAAAGAAACCCCCAGAAACTAGTATCTGAGCCCAAATTAAATTTCTATTTCTTGGGGCCTAAAACTTCAAAATCAAGTCATGAAAGCATCTTGCAAAAAAACCTAGTTTACTACCTAAAGTTCCTCAAAAAATTCGAACGAATAAATTCTAGAAACTAGCCTCGAGCTTTCCGAAGAATTTGACCGACGCCCCCAAGGAACGAGTGGAGATTCGTGCGTGAAGGTGTGAGAGCCCGCGCTCTCACTTCTCACACTCCAAAAACACATCCACTTTCGGTCGGCTCTTCATTTTTATCGTCGGCCCCCGAAAGGCGCGAAGAACAAAGTCTGAAACTCTAGAAAAACACGGACAGCAAGTTTGCCTAGTTCTTCAAAAGTCATCTAGGTCGCTATAGAAGTATTAGGGTAGTAGAGCCTCTCGAAATAGGCCGCAGCTATTTAAAAAGTAAAAATGGCAAAGTATGGACCCAGTTTCCCGCAGAAATTAGCAAATCTAGAAGGGGGTTCGGGGTGCGGCTAGAAGAAGCGCGCGAAGGGCGGCGGGAACTTTTTGAGGGACACTTCAAGATTGGCCCCACAAACACCATGAAACAATGGGTCGGAGAATATTTGGGAAGAGCGGGCGCGAATCCTAGCAGAACGGAGATGTCATAATTCGAAGTTAGCTTCTTCTTGAAGTGCCAAAATACCGGTATTGCGAGCTAAAAACAGATTTGGAGCTGCAGCTTTTCGAAAATGAGCGCAATGTTTTAGCAATTTTCTTAAATTGTAATATCGTACACTTACTAGGGAAGTGCAAATAAAAAACCCAGCAAACCGCTTAGCAAAAATATGGGTCTGATAGAGACGGCGACGGGGATTCCGAAACTGCAATCAGAATTTGCTAAACGCTTAATACAAAAAAGTTATGAGCATTTTAAGTTTTGCATCAGATGGTCCGCCCTCCCTTATGAGCCCCTCCCAAAGATGGGTGTCCGCCTGTCGACTGGTGTAGTGGCTAACTAGCATGCCTCTTGGGCGGAGGGTCTCTGGTTCGAATCCCCGGTCATGCATAATTTTCTGCTTTTTGGTCAAAGTCAACAACTTTAAACTTTTTCAAAGTTTCAAAGTCGAAAAGGTCGTTCTCTTAATTTTTAAATTCATGAAACCATGGCAAATTCATGGCAAAGTGGTGGCGGGAGTGCCAGGACTCTTGCGGATAGGGCACTAAAAAATTCACTGCTATTTTTTCGTAAGGCAGGCCTACACGCAGTCAATAATAAAGAAAATTTAAAAAAAAATATAAATTTCGTGCTTCGAAACTTTGAAAAAGACTAAAATTGTTGACTTTGACCAAAAAGCAAAAAGTTTTGCATGACCGGGGATTCGAACCAGAGACCCTCCGCCCCAGAGGCATGCTAGTTAGCCACTACACCAGCCGACAGGCGGACACCCATCTTTGGGAGGGGCTCATAAGGGTGAGCAGATCATCTAGTGCAAAACTTAAAATGCTCATAACTATTTTGTATTAAGCGTTTAGCAAATTCTGATTGCAGTTTCGGAATCCCCGTCGCCGTCTCTATCAGACCCATATTTTTGCTAAGCGGTTTGCTGGGTTTTTTATTTGCACTTCCCTAGTTAGCGGTTTATTCTGACAAGGGAACCTTCGAATCCCGAAAAGCAAAAGCCAAAAATCTAGGAAAAAGCACCATATAGACAGCCCAAGAATATGGTAGGTTATCACAGATGTTACACGCAAAAATCATCGTGGAAAAGAAAAGCACAGCAGTAAATTCACAGAAAACGATGGCACAAAAGGAGATCAAAGAGATAATGAATGACTACACAATCGTATGGCAAAATATAGTTAGAAAAAAGAGGACAAGACAGGAATCAGGGTATTTAGTCGTTGAATCGTCACTTGTCTATGAGAAGTTACATTTGTGTTGGGTGAGGCTGGATCGACGGGACGGTTAGATCTAAAAACATAAAGAAAAGCAAGAAATGTTAAATGATACCATTTAGAACATCGAGCCAAGTCGAAGGCAGACCGGGGCTCAGACGGCTTCGTAGCAGTTGGAGCGTCTGAAAAGTAGGTTTTTGAGCGAGCCTCTTTATTTGGTACTTGACTGTTAGCGGGGGGCAGGGAACCAATCTTTGTTTGTTAGCTTATTGATCCCACTATTTTTATAGCGTTTTTACCAGTTTTCATTGCTGGAAATTTACAAAAGAATTTCAAAAAATTGACGATTTTTACGTTTTTCGGTCATTTTTCACACAAGTTTGAGCAAAAAGTAAAAAAGGATTATTATCGGATTAGTTAAAAATTCGGTCCCACGGCCAACAGTCGAGTACACCTTATTTCAGCTAGTAAAAGATAAAATACCATTTGATACCTTTCTGAAGTCATCTCGTACACCATTCCTGATCCGATCGATGCCATCACCCGGTCGCATCACCCCCGTGTACGTTCCCAGCAGAATTCGATAGAATGGCCCTGAATCGAACGATGGCCCGTGCTTCTTCGCCTCCAGCAGGGCGCAATTCGCCACGATGTTCAGAAACTAAAAAGCAATCTATGGAAACCAGAAAAAAATACCTGGCGAGCCAAGTTGATTTTTGTGGACGGGAGGCTTGGGTCGGAAAGGCGAAGGATTGAGCTAAAAAATATTTCAGTCGAATTGCTGTAAGAAAATTCCCAATCAATCTTTGTGCACATTATCAGTGCAAAAAGAATACGGCCTGCGAATTGCTATTGCCTAAAGCGATGAGCAAAAAGCTCAGAAAACGGTTCTTTCGCAATAAAGGAGGACCAACTTTTGCTTAGAATCCAATTTTTTCAAAGATCAAGACCGGAGGCTTTTCAAAACCTTTCTTACTATTCCTAGCGTTAAAACTTCACAAACTTTTATTCAAACATATAAAAATTTTCGATTTTCGACCAATCCTTTTAGCTCGGATTTCTACTGAAATATAGCTCCAATTTACCAAGACGAACAAAATACTTTTTATTAGATTACTAAACATCCAGCCATTGACAAAAAGTGCTCCCGCCGATAATGCGAAAGAACTGAGGAAACAACCAGGCGTCGGGACCAGGCAAAAACGTACCAAACAAGCTTGACGAACGCGTCGATAGCGAGCGCGGGCTGCTGGGGACGAAGAGATCGTTTTGCCTCGACGGTCATGGCGTGGTACTTGATCACGCAAATGTCGATGCAGATGCGGAAGAAGGAGGCGATCATCAAATCCGACGACATCAACCCGTCTGCGTGGATCTGAAAAAAAAACACAAAAATGTTTTTCCGCTAAAACGATACCTCCTGGATGATGCGGGCCAAAGAAGAGTGTGGATTCTGATCGACTTCACCCATTCCGCACATGCGGATCCACTCGCGGAACACGCGTTCTACCTGAAAAATAGCAGATTTATGGTTTCTTTTTAGAGTTTTCATCCCGTTTTTCGTTATCTAGATCGAAAATCTCATCGTGAGAAGTTCAAAAAATTTGTCAATCCCAAAATGTACCCTGATAATCAACGCAGAGTAGAGCTTCGGATCGAGCCGCGGCACTTCGACCGGTTGATGGCCTTCCGGCTCGCTGACGAACGTTTCTTCGAGCACCTGCATTGCCCATTCCTAAACAAGCAGCGTAAAAACCAAATAAAGCTTTACCGGAAATTCCTGTTCGCGTTGCCCAGCGCTCAGCGATGCCTCAGCTAGCTGCGGTGCTTCTGGGATCTCGGGCCAGGGGCCTAAAACGAAGATTTATACCAAAAACGTATGAAATACTGACCAGCTTCTCTTATGTGTCGTTTCGCCGACCTTTTCGCCTCGGCAGCGAAGAGCGGATCGCGAAGCAGCTCGGCAAGTTGACACCGCTTGGTGATTGGGTCTAAAAAGGGATTAGGCAGCGTAAAAAAGTTTACTTTTCAAATCCGGCGTATCAGCAGTCGATTTCGGGGCAGGTCTTCGATTGGGGGAGAACGTTTCGACGGCCTGCATCTTCAGAAATGGGCAGGATACCTGAAAAAGTACGTATAAAAGGCGTAAACATGCAAGAAAACGCAGAAAATATCGTAGAAAAGTAAACACAAACACAAGTAAGTACACAAACGCGTAAAAGGCTATAAAGAGTGGAAAAAACGGTGAAATGAGGCTCAATCTTTAAACAACTAAACCATAAAGCAGCGCGGTGGCTGTGAAAACAGCTTTAGAAACCCTGATTAGCAACCCGGAGAAGATGAATTTCGGAAAAAGCCGGAAATTGGATGCAAAACCGGGTATAAAAGAAAGGCGTTCCCGAGAAAAGATATCACTTCTCAAAAAGCGACGATGGCCTACTCAACTGCCGACAAGAGCGCGTTCGTGCCCGTCGACTGTGGACAGGGCGCCAACCCCAAGCCCACCGAGCTCGAGATCGACATCGACGAGGACCTCTTCGGCAAGATCCAGGGCGCGGCTGGCGGTGGAAAGGTATACAAACTTTACGAGCTTCTAAAAACCCGAAAAATTTAGCACAATAGTTCTTTTAGTGAGTTTAGCCACGAAAATGTTAATTCCCAAAAGCCTCGGTCAAAAACGCTCCGCGGCGCTCCGCTTTTGGCCACCTTTTAGCAAACAGCAGGCTAAAATTCACCCAAAAGCTTAAAAAAATAAAAAGTATGCAAAACACGTGAAACATGAAAAACATGAAATAGTTTTTGTTTTGTTTAGTTTTATAGAAAAAAAGCAAAACGCTCCGTTTTTTGTCATCTTTTAGCAAACGCAAGCTAGCAATCGACCCGAAAAGTAAAAAATTTACCAATCTCCTAAAATTTAGCATAAATTAAAAATAAGAGATAAATTAGCATTTTTTACGGGTTAATTATGATGGGGGAATTAGCTTGAGAAAATCGACAAAAGCTTAATTTCTTTCAAAAACTTAATTCAGTCGGTGGCTGCCCCTGCGCCTGCTGCAGCGGGCGGGAAGAAGAAGATCGAGTACAAGAAGGCGTCCGGCTACGTGAAGACGGTCGCAAAGAAGTGATCAACAACATCAGCCCTCCCCCATCTCTCTCTCCTGCCCTCTGGATTAAACCGATCAACCGAACCAACGATAACAACACGCTCTCCTTTTTCAATGCTATTTTCGCTTTTGAATTGTCGTCCTATGCTCGAGTAAATGTCTTTGCATCGCACACAGTGTATCAGATCTTATGGGGCAATTTGGAACACTCTTTGTGGCTTGAAATGAGCGCAAACTAGGGAGCGAGTCATCGTGGTTAAAAGCTAATCGTTTTGCGCGTTTTTGGCTGAAAAACAACTTGGCAACGAATTTCCGGTGAACCTTGTAGACTTTTGAGACTGTTCTGCGTTCTTTGGAAGCTAGGTGCTGATTTGGTGAACCTATTTACGATGAATCGCATTTCCTGATGTGATGAATCTACCGTGGCATACCTGGATTTTCCTGGCTAAAAACGATTCAATTATTGTCATGTTTCGGAAGCAGGGCAAAATGAGGTCCATGAAAAACAGATTTCATCGACCGCATTTCTCCCAAATTCAATGCCGCCAAATTTGAGAAGCCTCGAAAAAGGTGCCGTACTTTCTGACGTGGGCCTTATCAAGCCACGGCCGGTTGAGTCATATCACTTCCGCTTTCCCCCTCTCCGTTCCCGTAGATTGGATTGATTGTTTTTGAGCGATCTACAGGCGTTCAACGACGAATGG